TTCTTAGAGTTTAAATAGTCACAAAGGTAGTAAATATTTATTGTATTACTACGGTTTACCAGGCACCAAGAGTAGAATGACAAGCAACAAGGGCCTTCCTGTCATTAAATCCAAATTCTCCTGGGCAGACAGTCAAGAAACAAATAAGTGAACAAAATAATTCCTGCTTTTTAAAAAGCACTAAGAAATAAGTTGGCAGAGTGATATAAAAGACTTTGTCAGATATGATCATTGAGAATGACATTTAAATTGAGGCCTGGAGGATGGGACAGAAACAGCCATACAAATACCAGAGGCAGAGAGAATGCCATGTAGCAAGTCCCTGAGGCAGGAAAGAGTCGCTGGCATCCAGAACAAAGAGGAAGCCAGCATGGCCTGAGTGTATGAAGAAAGGAGAGAAGAGACCAGAGAGGGAAACGAGGCCTGGTCAGGCAGGATCTCAGAGTCCGTGGTCAGGGTTTTATTCTTAGTGAAACAGAAAGTCACTGTTTGGTGTTAAATAGAATAGTGACAGGATATAACTTACCTTTTGGCTGCTAAGTGAAAACTCAACTAGATAAGCCAGTTAGCAGACTACTGTGGAAGTTCAGATGAAGATAACAGTGGCTTGAACTAGATGGAAAGAAATGGATGGCAGGGTTTTTGTTTTTGTTTTTCCCCCTTCTTTATAAAAAGGAGAGAGGGGGAACCAGCAGTTAGCGTAATGGCTATGTCGCTGGACTCCCACGTAGTCGACCGCATGGCAGGGTTTTTGTTTTTGTTTTTCCCCCTTCTTTATAAAAAGGAGAGAGGGAAGGAAGGAGAAGAGGAGAATTAGAGAGATAGAAGCAGAGAGAAAGAGATGGAGGAAGGCAACAGATGGTGTAATGGTTACATCACTGGACTCCCACATGGCGGACCACAGTTCGAGTCCCAGATCCGGTAGCTTGAAAATCATGCTGGGCACGTGTGCATGCATGCCCAAGATCTCAGGAGGAGAATGGAGAAGGGATTGCAGTTTGGCCATCTCCCCTAAGGGGTGACTTTTCACTTTCCCTCTCACTGTCTCTCTCTGTCTCTCTCCAGGGAGCACACATGATCTATGACACAAAGAAAAACTGAGTATTTTTTTTTTTTTGGTAGAGGTTTTTGCTATAGGGCGCGTGCGCTCACCAGAAAGACAGAGAGAAACAGAGATATAGAAAGCGAGAAATCACCCCCCAGGGGGGATGGCCATGCCGCAATCCCTTCTCCTCCATTCTCTCTCGGGATCTTGGGCACGCACGCATGCACACGTGCCCAGCGTAAATTTAAGCCACCAAGTCCAGGGCTCAAACCGCAGTCGACTACATGGGAGTTCAGTGACATAGACATTACACTAACTACTGGTCTCAACTCTGGGTATTTTTTACCTCTCACTATGTCACAGTCCTCCTTCCTTAGCCACCAAATTAGCTGAGATTACAGGTGCAAGTAACTGTGTCCTGCATGTTCATGTTGGCCCAGGAGCCAAACCCAGGCTTCTCATACAGCTTCCAGGCTCTGGTGGGCTGGCGCTACCTATAGGCCACCGTAGCTGGGCCAGAAATGGATAGATATGGTATGTGTTCTGAAGGCAGAGCCACAGGACTTACTGATGGCTTGAAGGGAGTGAGGCAAAGTGAAGAATCAAGAATGACTTCTAGATTGGAGCAACTGGGTACATGTTATTACCACTTACTGTGAACAGAAGTAGGAGGATAGGAATGAGGCCAGGTGAGGTAAAGTCCCACAGGGAATTCCATCCTGGATACATTAGGCATCCAGATGGAGATGTTTTTTAAGGAGACAGGTATATCAGCTGAGAGGTCAGAGAAAGTTTGGGGTTGGAGATATGAATCTGGGAGTAATCAGCATATAGAAGATACTCAAAGCACCTAGTGAAAAGAGCAGAGAGAAGAGTCTAGAAACAAGTTCTGGCATTTCAAAAGGAAAGGAGGGCTTCATGACAACCCTGTGCCTTGGGTAGAATAGGTCCCTGTTTTAGATGGGATGAGCAGTTAGCGTAATGGCTATGTCGCTGGACTTCCATGTAGTCGACCGCGGTTCACATCCCAGACCGGGTGGCTTAAAACTCACGCTGGGCGCGTGTGCGTGCGTGCCCAAAATCCCAAGAGGAGCATGGAGGAGAAGGGATTGCGGCGTGACCATCCCCCCTGGGGGGTGATTTCTCACTTTCTGTCTCTCTGTCTCTCTCTGTCTGGCGAGCACACACACCCTATAGCAAAAACCTCTAAAAAAATATAAAAAAATAAAAATAAAAAAGAATAGGTCCCCGTTTTAGAGATAAGAAAACAGAGCGGAGAGTGTTAAATGACTTGCCTAGAGAATTGTACAGCTGATGTGTGATCAAGCAAGAATCTTCTGATTGGAATTGAATTCCCTTCCCTTGACAGCCTCGGTGATCCTACCTACCACACAGAGGCTGGAGTTTTCCATCAGGGAATTGAGCTGGGGTGATTAAGCCAGAGCTGGGGTGATTAAGCCAAGCCGTACGGCTATGACCAGGTGCAGGCCTCTAATATGAAAGGACGGAACAGGAGACAGATGAGTCCAAAGAGAACTTTCCAACTCAGAGTAAAGAATCAAGATCTTTTCCCTCTTCTAAAGAACAATTTTATTTGACTTTATTTATTTATTTTAATTTGACCAGAGAAGTAGAGAGAGAGAAAGTGAGAAAGCAAGCCACCAGATTCAGTACTTGAACCACAGTCAGTATGTGTGAGTCCAGTGCCCTTAACCACCACGCCACCTACTGACCCCTCAAGTTCCTTTTTTACTAGTCAGACAGGAAGCAAAAGTTGGGGATGCTTGAGATCACAACCCAGATCATGAGGCAGAACACGGTGAAATCCCTCAGGATCAGTCCTAGAAAAGGATAAACCAGAAGTTCAATATCCCATGGTCTCAACTAGGGGGAAGGAAAGAGTTGGAGCAAGGATCCACCCAGGGCCTGATACCAGCTCTCTCCAAGGTGAGAAAAACTTCTAAGAAACAGAATCTGAAAGCCTTGACAGGACAGAACTGCAGGTATAAGCAGGGGAAGCCGAGGCCATGCTTGTGAAAGTAAAGAGAAAGCAGGACTAAGGATAGTTTCCAGGATTCATCACAGATTCTTGCTTGCCTCCTTGGCTCCCTTAAAGGACCCAGAAATTGGGGGCCATAGCCTACCTCAGCCTGTATCGCTAGATTTAAAGCTATACAATCAGGGGAACCGCCATCTTCCAGTAATTAACCAAAATGACGAACACAAAGGGAAAG